AATTGTCGGCGGAGCAATTGTCGGCGGAGCAAATGTCGGCGGAGCAATTGTCACTTCAGGCGGAGCAATTGTCGGCGGAGCAATTGTCGGCGGAGCAAATGTCGGCGGAGCAATTGTCACTTCAGGCGGAGCAATTGTCGGCGGAGCAATTGTCGGCGGAGCAAATGTCGGCGGAGCAATTGTCGCTTCAGGCGGAGCAATTGTCGGCGGAGCAATTGTCGGCGGAGCAAATGTCGGCGGAGCAAGTGTCGCTTCAGGCGGAGCAAATGTCGGCGGAGCAAATGTCGGCGGAGCAATTGTCGCGTTTTGCGGAGCAATTGACGGCGGAGCAATCGTCGGCGGAGCAATTGTCGGCGGAGCAATTGTCGGCGGAGCATCTGTCGGCGGAGCAATTGTCGGCGGAGCAACAATCGGCGGAGCAACTGTCGGCGGAGCAACTGTCGGCGGAGCATTTGACGTCGGAGCAAATGTCGCGGAGCAAATGTCGCGGAGCAATTGTCGCGTTTTGCGGAGTAAATGTCGGCGGAGCAATCGTCGGCGGAGCATGTGTCGGGTTACCCCCCGGACCATTCCCAGTGGACGTGCTCACCTATTTACATCTTGTACGTTTTGCAAGATATATTTTGACTCTCTCGTTGTTCAGCATTGACTACACTTTAATTCACCAGCAGTGAGAATAGAACATTTAATATGATCTAACGTTTTTCTCACCTGCATTATTGTTTGACAACCTTTTATCATCGACTTCATATGATATATATTGTCTCGACATTTGATTCTTCGACCTGCATCGCAAGTCACTGAAGTTGATCTATTGACATTGACTGCATCATCATTGTATTCATCTGTTTATACTGATTCATCATCGTCTTCATCGTCGACTTCATCATCGCTGTCTTCACCAGCGTCGTCTTCGTCATTGTTGTCATCATCGTTGTCTTCAACATCGTCTTCATCATCGTGGTATTCACCTAGCGTCGATCATCGTCTGCATATCCTACGCGATCGACAACCAGCTCATCGACCACTGTTTTCGACTAGCTAGTTTCTACATCTATCTAGAACTTGAAGAAGATCTACTCTGAATTCAACTCCGATGACTCACGTAACGTTAATTATATTGTGATTGATGCTTTGCATTGTTTATCATTGTGATGCCTTATTTTGACTGACTGAGTGCCTGTTGTTGAGTGCGTACGCTTACTAACACATATTTTACATGTTTATAATTGCACTAGTTCTAGGCCTATACCTGGTCTACTGATCTAAATCTGCTATAGTCTAGATCCACCGATATATTGTTGTATTCTCGTGTTGTGCATTCCGTACACATACACAAGTAGAGATTTGTTTAGTGGTTTCTTGAACCACAATATTTCGTGCCTATGTAAGTAAATCTAAACGCTGTCTAGCTTAGATTTGAGTAGTATTTTCTTGACTGTTATTATTCATGCAGTGTGAATGATATTTAACTGACTTGTTTTAGTACTGTCTTAAGTTGTACTGAACAGGACTCCTGATATTTCGAGACTTGTATTAAGCGGTAATCATTAATACCATAGTGACTAAGTTGAGTCTCCTTTACATTAATGTGCTGTTGGAAGTTATCTATGTTTGATTATTAATAGTAACTACCAAGGGCCTAGTGATAGTTTAATTGTCTGTCACTGTTGAGATAGACACCAGAGGTTTCTGATAATTCTGTAATCATTGTATCTTATGTGAAATTATAGAATATAGAACCAGTTTTTAACCATAATCAATTGGTCTGGATGTGATCATTTATTAAGTGTTTTCTTGTCTGGAGGGATACTGCTTTTTAGTAGTTTAATTAAAAAAGGGAATTATGTGGGATTACTAGTTAACACGCAACATAGTCCATACCCCATGTAGTTTTCTAAAGTATCATTAATATCATTCATATTGTTTAATTACATCTTGTGAAATTGTATGCATTCAAGCTTTTGGGATTTTTTTTTGGTGTATTTGTATGAAAGAAAGCATTTTGAGCTTATAATGCACATGTTGCAATTTCAGGTGCAACTTAGTGTTCAAATATGGGTTACGCACGGCCAGGCATTAGTGTAGGAAATCTTCAAATGTTAATCAGGTATTTGACTAAAAAAGCGGCCACAGGGATGACAGAAAATAATATGACAATGAAACCAGCAAGTGTGGCAGGATTAATGGCGGGGACAATCTGCATGCTGAAAGAGCACTTAGAATAGGTATATCGGAAAATTAATTCAAGACTAAGTTATAAGTTATAAGTTAGAAGTTATAAAGGAGATAAAATCTTTGGTATTAGTCATGTTCGACTTAAAATTGCATCCCCCCCCCCGCCCAATTACCCGGTAAAAAAAAACACCTTCTTATAATATCATCCCCTTTTCTTCCTTTTCCCTTCTTTTCCCTTCTCATTATTCTCCCTTTCCCCCCTTTCTTTCCTCCGTCTTTCCGCCTTTCTTCTTTTTCCGCCTTTTCTCTCTCTCTTTCCCTTTCCCCTCCTTTTTCTCCTCTCCCCTTTTCTTCTTCTTTCTCTCTTCCCTTTTTTTCTTTTTCCTCTCCTTTTTTTCTTTTTCCTCTCCTTTTTCTTTCCCCCTCCTTTTTCTCCTTTTCTTTTTTTTTGGCCGGGGGGGGGGGGGGGGGGGGCACGTGCCCCCCCTCCCTGGATCCGCCACTGATTAAGTCATACTCATCATCATACTCATAGTCTACCCAGTTTTACTTTTACAAACTGGAATTCTATTTCAAATTAAACCACGATTTACACACAGTTCCAACTCACGCTGGCCCTGTCCTTTTTACGATGCCATCTTACCAATACCAATACCAATACCAATACCAGCCCAGCGAGTTACGCTTCTCGGTTGACAAGGGGGCGTCGTGTACCTGTATGTTTGGAGGGTATGTTTTAGTAGGGTATCTCCACGCCGGAGTTACGGCTCAAAAATGGATACACTAGCACCCGGCCCAGCTTACCTACCTCGTCGTTCCCGTAGAAGAGTCTACGATGGAGTCTGGCGGCTGCTATGGCTACGGTAGTTCTCGAGAACATCCTACTCCTAGAAGACAACAGTGCCATCTCAATTATCGTAAACCCAAATCAATCGCAAGTTTGCAGTCCCCTATCTCTATAGTATGGAGTAGGCCTATAGTCCAGAATCTGGCCGGTTGATGGGTTGTTCATTATATTCCCCTAAAATTATTGATTCAAGCCGCCGAAGATGGCGTTATTAACGAACTGAGCATTTGTTGTTGTTGGTTTGTGTGGCGTTTTCCATCGTCGTTGGATGATTTTCGCGCTGGGCGTCTCCAGGAACCGAGGGGATTTTGGGGTTTAACCCCCCCCCCCTCAATTGTTTTTATGTGTATGTTTTGAAGAGAATATAATGTTAAAGAATTAAAGTTATTAAGCCATGAGCACAAAACAACAATAAGTAAAGTCATCGCTTATCAATTAGGAGCTGTTCAATAGCTTTGGTGATTCTTGAGACGTACCTCCATCCGGGTTGCACTGTGTCAATGGTAGCATTGATGGACTCCTCACTGAAGAATAAAATGAGAGAGATCCTCTTTGACATTGACAGCCTTTTTATTTTTCATTAATGGTGAGCATCTGCTTTATAGTGTTGTGACAGATTAAGAGAGTCTTGACGCAGCATATTGTCATCTCGAATGTACAGTTAGGGGGGTTGGGGTATTTTGATTTTATACAACTTTAAAAATGCCATAAATCATCTAACAAAGGTAAAATTTCTTCTTTCCCCAAAGAGAATATAATGTTAAAGAATTAAAGTTATTAAGCCATGAGCACAAAACAACAATAAGTAAAGTCATCTCTCTCCCATGATCAACAAAAAAGTCTAAAATATCAACATTTTACAGTTCGAAGTAATAGAGTGCACAGTGGATACCAAAATATCAGAATTCTGATTCTTAATTTGCGAATAGCAAACTAGGTTTTTACTAATCTACGATTTGTCATATGTATCTCTACATTTAATATCAAATTAATTTCTTAGTCAAGAGAGTCTTGACGCAGCATATTGTCATCTCGAATGTACAGTTAGGGGGGTTGGGATATTTTGATTTTATACAACTTTAAAAATGCCATAAATCATCTAACAAAGGTAAAAAAATTTCTTTCCCCAAAGAGAATATAATGTTAAAGAATTAAAGTTATTAAGCCATGAGCACAAAACAACAATAAGTAAAGTCATCGCTTATCAATTAGGAGCTGTTCAATAGCTTTGGTGATTCTTGAGACGTACCTCCATCCGGGTTGCACTGTGTCAATGGTAGCATTGATGGACTCCTCACTGAAGAATAAAATGAGAGAGATCCTCTTTGACATTGACAGCCTTTTTATTTTTCATTAATGGTGAGCATCTGCTTTATAGTGTTGTGACAGATTAAGAGAGTCTTGACGCAGCATATTGTCATCTCGAATGTACAGTTAGGGGGGTTGGGGTATTTTGATTTTATACAACTTTAAAAATGCCATAAATCATCTAACAAAGGTAAAATTTAAACCATTTCAAGACTCTCAGAAGTATATGATTTATACCAATCACAAGGGCAGAAGAAGTTATTGTTGTGTATGCATACTGCTTATTTCATCTTAATATGCCATACAGGCATTTTGAGAGGTGGTTTTAGTACTGCCTTACATATATGTGGGAATAAGCCCTCTGTGTAAATCAACATCAAAAATATATTTTCTGAATTAGAAGTTATGCATTTGGATAAGCACACATACTTAAATAACAATGCTTCTTTCATCCCAAATTTTTAAGCTGTCTGTTAGACAACATCAAGCCAAAAAACTAATGGGCTATCGCGGTAACGGTGACCTAATCTATTACTAAAATCTGGGATTTTTGTCATGAGAACAATTTAACGCAAGGAAGGCTTTCATCGTTCAACACTGCAACCACAGTTGTTTGGTCAAACTGGTGTGTTCTAATAGTTCTTACCTGATTTTGCCAATCTTGATGACACAGCTGTGTGGAATGGCTGTCAATGGATACTGGCCTGGTACAATGTCCAGGTGAATGCAGAACGTAGAATGGGCTTCAATGCTGGAAAACTCAATGGATAGTCTAGGAGAACAAGATGGATCAATAAAGACAGCTCTTAATTGTCATTAATGTCGGTACCTACCGTATACTAGACTGCCTCATCATCTCATAATTCACAGATTCACAAAACCGACACATCAATGCAATAACTATCTGTTAGGGAGACGACTAGCTACTTTAAAGACAAAACATAATTTGCTCTATTTCAAATACTTGATCTCAGAATGATACATTTAGCTGTTACTGCTCTCAGAACTCTTGATGACTCTTACATGAAAGTGACGGAGTATACAAACATTTCATTCAAAACAGAAAGTCAACACTGCTTTATATTTCTTAAAGGTTAAATATATACTGTAAGCAGAGTTGCATCAATGTGAATAGACATGGGCAGATAAATCTAACGTAGTCTTACCTGTTCTGTGCTGTAGTAACTGGATGCCAGAAATCTATTCTACTGACCTCAGCCTCTAGCAACCTGACCAGCCAACTCTGAAAGATGCTGCATCATCTTTAAAAGGTAAAATAGAAGTGATGTAAAGAACACACAAGTCTTGCAATGTTAGTTTGGTACATTTATATTGGTCACAAATCAATGTGTTATCAGCATATTCTTCTTTTTTTCCTCCTTTTTTTTTGGTGGGGAGTGGTTGCTATGATGCAAAATCTACCCCAAAAGTCTTATGAACAACAATTTACTAAGAAATACAAACACTGAGTGGATAAAGAATTACTTACATGGACAGTCTTGAAAAAACAATTACAAACAAAATAATAACATCTCTTTTTTGTTGTTCATGTATTTCATATTAATTCAATCACATTTTATTTCCTACTTGAGATACATTTTACATTTGTTGTGTAAACAGAACCAATATGATTTCTTGGACACGTATGAATGATATTTGTTATAAGAAATGCTGTACTTCTTGGAGAAACATCTGAAAGTTCAAGAGCTACACATACCTGCGGAAGGGCAGCTAAGGTAGGATAGAGTGTCTTCAACTTGTCTGCACTTACACTGCTGAAGAAGAGTGAATGGGCTAGTTTGGCTGAGCTACAGGCATCATCTACAAGAATATAAAAACAGGACCATGATACACATCTCAAGAATACAGTTTGAATCATCCTGCATAACTAAAAGCTTGGTTAATGTCCAACATGATTTGTAAAACATTGGTTATGTGACCAAAAAAAAATTGTACTGCTTTTAGTTGATGTTTAAAATTAGATTTACTCAAGATACTTACCTGCAAGCACACTACGTAATGTGAGATCATTCAACTTGGCACCACTTTCTGTGTCACCTATAAAAAATTTAAAAAATGGAGAAAAAAAAGAAGAAGACCAATCATATATTTCGTGAAAGTTGTTAAAAGTGAGACTTTACACATGAATCAGTGCTTCCAAACAAAGAATTAATTGAAAAAGGGAACAAACTGTGACAAGATGTAAATATGGTGGAAGTCTGGATAAAGAATCATTTTGAGACTCGACATGGCTTAATTCTACTCACCAATAGTTCAGCATGTAGTTTTGATATTTTCTGTTGTTCTGTACTATAAGTTGTAGGAAGAGAACCTGGGAATATGGACCAGGATTGTAGGAAAACACACATACAAAAAAACAAACACAAACAACAACAAGATACAACTTATGGGATATCATCTCACTCTATTACAAGTTACTGAGTGAAATAAAGAAACTCACCAAACTGTATGTTGAGTAGGATTGATTTGTTTAAGAATGAAAAATTGTAGTTGTTCTCAAGGAAAGCTTGTAGTCTCCATTCTTGAAAGCTGTAGAAGAAATGCAGATAATAAAATAAGCAAAGATTCAATGTGATCCAAAACGGCCATTTCAAAAGACATTTAATAATGCTGCAATCAAACTCTCAAAATGATTCAAATGTATAATTGAAGATTTACAAATAGAAAAGAAAAGCCAGTCCAAATGTTAATGCGAAGAACATGGATAGATATAATCTAATGGGGTACTTTTAAAATATTACTCCTCTTACATATGATGATATCTACATGTGCAATATTTCAGTCATTTCCCTTATATAAGTTCTAATATTACATCCCCTCTAATGGTTGTATTACATTTCATCTACATAACAAGCATGTAAATAACAATAATATCAATCATTAGGAGTGCTGAAATAAAAAGTACCATAGTGCTTACACAATATAGAGTGTGAAGAGAAAACATAAAATATATAGACTCATGTAAATAGATAAATCGCAATAAATATGTTTTTAAGGGATCTTTTGAAAGAAGCAAGAAAGGGTAATTCTCTGATGGAAAGTGGCATATTGTTCCATGATACAAAAATACAAAACTGAATATATTGCCTGTGGAGGAGGACGATGTCTGATTTCATGTTCTTTAGCTCCAGGTCTGTTTGGCTGATTCCAGTTCCAGGTTTACTCAGTTCTTCTCGCTCTGCCTCCAGCTTGGTTGTGCTTGCCTCTATGCTATTTATCTCTGCTTCTAACCGTTTTCTTTCACTGCAAACATAAATTACATTTATTTAGTTTATATTCTATCAAGTCAGTTTTACATGGGCAAGGCATAAGTTATTTTTTATTTTTCAAATGTACCAGTCACAAATTGTTGTTGTTGTTTTGTTTAGTACATTAGCGGCTCCATGTTGTTACTATATTCAAAATATAAGCTTAACAAATTATATCTATAAAGAGATATTGCAAATTCAAGCACACGCTCATTAAAAAAAACCCATGACTTATGAATAGACAATTCAATGCACCTGTTCATGCGAAAAGATTTTGGCGTAAATATTCACAACTGAATGATACACGCCTTAAAACTAAAACAACAACAACAAAATGCTAGCATTGAATAAGGCCTGCATGAAACTCAAGTCCGACATGGGTTCCATGCGTAGGGGTTTATGTCATTCTTTAGTTTCTTCATACTCCTCATTCTTTGGCCAATAGAATGCCGGGAAAACAAATTTGAGTTGGATTTTATATATTCTAGCTTTACACAAATTATTTCTTAAAGGTACTATGTCCCTTTTGCAGCTAACCTCAAATTCTGTATAACTTTGTAGGAATTATGAATATGTCATGCATGTCCTATCTGTGAAATTTAAATATTAGCAGTGTCCTCATATTCAAATTATGCAAGGAAACCTGTTTACTTGCTAGACTTCACTGTCAGACACTATTGAGTGACTGACTGGCTTTTTTTCTTCTTTGGTAATAACATACATGAAAAGAGTTGTAAAGGGTACATGAGCATTTGTCTACATCAATAACCCACTTCTTGTGATGGCCAAGATTAAACCGATTGAATCTTTGTGCAGCATAAAACGTATGACCATTCGGTACAATTGTCTGAAAATCAAGACTATTACTTTTGGGCTCTATAGCCCTAAAGTCGATTTGACAACTAATAGTCGTTATTTTCCCACTTGAAGACATTTTCAAGCCCCACCTTTTTTAGGGAAGTTATAAATTAGTATTATCTTTCAAATGCAGTTGGAATTTAACTTTTTCATTTTTTTGGCCTGCAAATGGGACATAGTACCTTTAAAGGTGGTTGGTAAACTTTAATTTCTTATATTACACAGTATAAATCATTCACGAACCAGTATATTCAATATCCATGTTAAAACATTAATAACTAAGCTTTAATCTAGTATTAAAGCTAAAAACAACAAAACACTGCTCCTTCTAAATAGATTAAAGGGTTACATGGGCATGAAGAGAAAATTGTGTATCCATAAATTACAACTGCACGATTGATATCAAATATGAATGAAACATTGAATGCAGTGTAATTAGAGTATATATTCAAACTTCATTTAATCTTGTTTATATACTCTTCTTTACAGATCAATCATAATAGTTGTTTGAGCAACACAAATAGTGATTCCATGTATAAATTAACAGGAATCATTTCAACATATTAGAAATGAACAAACCTTTCAGTCTCTTGTACTGTGCATTCCTCTTCTCTTAGTTTTGTTTCCATGGATTCCAGTCCCTGTGAGTTTGCAACCCATTCAGATTTCTCTTCCTCAGTAGGTAGTTTGATCTGTTCTAAGCTGTTGATAGCATCATCTAAGGCACTATCCACTGGATTTAGGAAGTAAGCATTTATATCTTACATTTTTTTCATGATTTTTATTAGATAAAATGAATCTTTTGTCATGATTCATATTGTCTTTATAAAATGTTATGCTTTATAGAATGTTATGACATTTCAATGCAATTCAATGTTTAATTGTCCGTATATGGGGATTTATCGTTCACATGCCTTTAATACAAAAGGTAAATATACAAACAGCTTTTACAATTCCTAATCAATACAAAAATAACATATTTTCATGGAGTTTGTTTAGATCCCAAGAGTTAGTTCTTCATTCTAAAGATGATATATGTGGAATATGAAGCAGGTTCAAGTAGAAGTTTACTGATCTTCTAAATATATAAAGGTAATATAATGCATAATTGCAATAAAAATATGAGAACAAAATGCTCAGGGAATGAAGGAAATTCAAGATACAATAATCTCTCAATGTTCCAATATACTTCTCTTTCATACATATTAAAATTATTGTTGTTTCCATGAAATTCTATTAATGGACTTATTTACTACATGGAAGGTATAAATGTCCATACATATTTCCTAATGTAACTGCCGTGTAAATTAATATTTACAAACAATTAATATTTGGGAGAGAGGGTAGAAAAATGAACAAATCACTATGAAGGAAGATGGATGGAGAGAAAGATAGAGATTTGATTTGATTTGCAGGACAATTCAAAAATATTACACTGACATTTTACTTCAAATTGAAGTGTTATGACTATATGAGTATCTTATTCAAACATACCAGAGGCTAATTGCTGCAACTGCTCATCAATTGTACATATTGAACTTGTCAACTCGGCAAGCTTGTTTTCAAGATGGCGGCTTGAATCCTGGCAAATACATATAAAAGACAGATTGGATTTATCTGTTAATCTGAAGAGAAAAAAACAAAACAATATGGTTTCCACTGAAATAAAAATAATGCTTTTAATGTGTTTTTTCTTCCATATCATTGGGGATTCATACAACCAACCAACCAACGTAGCTATTCATAATTTAATTACTTTTGCAAATTGTTAATCTGAAGATGCATTAACATAAGACTATCTGTATAGCACTGGATACTCATGTCTCTAAATGTTCAAATTTCAAAAGTAATCATTCACCCCTGTATTGATGTACACACAAACTGTTTACATCATCTCCACTCCCTGGAAAATATCCCTACCAAATAAGCACTTTTAGGGGGGGGGGGGTATATGTGGCATTCAGCAACCTGCCTCTAAAGACTCTCATGGGTGCAGAGTGGTAAATATAGATCAAAGTTTTGCCATAGGATTTAAAAATATATAAAAAATGCCACAGCTGAAAATTGAACATGGACCATGATGTCATCTGTTTGGAGCCAGAAATGCATTTTTTTTATATACTTTAAAGGGATAGTTGAGTTCTGTTGCAGAGGGCGCTACACAAAATAATTTTTTTGGTGAGATAATGAAAAACTGAGTGTCAAATTTGAAAGAACATACAATTTAAATGACAAAATCATCTTTGTTTGATCAAAATCGGTTCAGAGACGCTCAAATATCCATAAATATAGCGATTTCTAATACTTGTGTACCACCACAAATATAAGATAATTTGAAAAACCTGTTGAAAAAAACGAAATAGCGCCTTTTACGTCGTATTTCAGCCAATGCAGATGTTGGCTTTTTTGTTGGCATTTTCAGGTTGGTTATATTAAGCACAACCAGCCGGTCCATGTATTGTTATTTTTAATTAATAATTAATTAACGGTCACCATATTTTTTTGAAAGTGGAGCTGACTTGGTATGCTCGTATTGGCTAAATTTCACACATTTTGGGGTCTAAAATTACCTTCATAGCAATTTTAGGTTCTAAAAGGGCACTATAAATGTCATAGATAAGAATAAAAGAATAACCATGCACTTTGAAGGCATTTGCGGTCTGAAAACAGAACTCAACTATCCCTTTAACTTAGAGTTAATGTCCTTCTGGCTCTGCAGATGATTTAATCTATAGTCCTTTGACTTATCCATTAGACCATGACAGACACCCCCAGGTTACTTACCTCCATGGCCGCCTTGGTATTGTTGATCATCTGCAGTCTCCATTCTTTCATCTTGGCTTTAGATGACGCTGTGCAATACTTCTGCAGACTCTTGCCCTTCTTCAGGATCTCAGCACACTGGAGGAAAGACATGGCAGTAACTACTAAACATTCTAAGACTCATTCCTTGACACACATGTAATAATAATATAGTTTTGTTTACCCAGGGAAACTTCATCAGCATGAGGGTTGTTCTTCTTGAGGGTCCTAGCTGCTATTATTATTAGTACCCCAGCAGTTGCCAGATACCCATTTACACCTGGGTGGATATAGTAGCAAATGTGGATTACCTAATGTCTTGCCAAAACATGTTAGTGCTGGGCTGGGATTCAAACCCTCATCCCTTGGATTGGGAGTCAAGTGAATGAAGAATTATACCATGACACCTCCACTTAATTAGAGAGACATTTTATCATCCACTACACATAAAGGTAAACAACAGCATTGGTCAAACTAAAGGATTCTGCGGAAATCATGGTGCATCACTATTTGTATTGTCTTTACTCTTACTGAGCTGAAGTTAGGAAGTAATCTACTTTTATTCATTTTGTACCATATGATTTTAATATCTGATCATCTGATGATACCAAACTGATATGTTAAAGGTAAAGACCAGTATTGGAAACGCCCCAATTTCAAAGAATGAAATGGAAGTTCTTATTACCAATCATGTGAAAGAATATGTTTTGACTAATACATGATCATAAAATTTTTGCCGGGAAACCGCCTACTAATTCATATATTTGATAAATTAGTTTATCTATTGGTGTGTGAGAGATAAACGCACGTGTCGTGCACGTGTGCGTAGTCCCATATACATCTTTCTGTGTACAGTGCTTGTAACTTTACCAAGACTGGGCCAAGTTTCTTATGATTTTGATGATTCCAGAACCTTGCAGTACACACCAATACTTATATGCTAGATGATCAAACTTTTCCGATCGATTCCTCAACGTTTATTTCACAATGCGATCGCATGACCATAACTGGTCTTTATCTTTAAGAAACAGAAGGGGAAAAAATATTTGTGCTTATATAGCCTCCTACAGCCTTCAACCTCAGAGAAAACCGAGTAAGATCATGCATCCTTTCAGAACCAGCAAGGTGCAATTTATTCCAACGTACATGTATTTTCATAAGTTTTATGTGACATGGCTCTACTGAATCTAATCTAAAAGGGCTAATTCTTCTCTGCCTTTTAATATTCACAGAGAATCAAGAAAGATAACACACCCTTTTAGGATCAGCAGACTGCATTTCCTTGATGATGGGAGCACCCTCCTTCAATTGTTCAGTATCTTGGGATCTCACTGAATTCCTAAGCCTAGATAAGAGAACATCATGACCATTGTATCATTGCAGTGGCCTATATGCTCTATTACTATGTAACAACATTTTGAAATAATTTACCATCATTACTTAGTTACTACTAGTAAATAAATTTTAAGAATGTCTGCATTAGGGTTAACTTGGAAGATCTCTAAAACGGCATTCATACCGTATACAAATGAATATACGCCATATCCAATTCTAAATCAGTGTCACATCACATTTTTTTCTCAGAGATTTTAAGTCGATTTCTATGATTTATTTATACATGCCAATAGGCGTTGTCAAGAACAATGTATGCAAATTATGAATTTGTATTACGCGCCATCTCAATAGCAGTAGTGGGAGCTCCGAAAAATTGATGGCAAAATTTCACCTAAATTGTATAATGACGTGAAAGAGGATGTCATTTGACACAAACTTCTGCAAGGATTTTCAAAACAATTGTGTTTGAAGACGAATATTGATGAAAGAATACAAAATTGAGGTTTTCTGCGTACAACAGTAAACCCAAATACAGCATTCTGTCATCAATTTTCGTCTTCAAACACATTTGTTTTGAAAATCCTTGCAGAAATGTGTGTTAAATAACATCCCCTTTCATACCATTGTACAATTTAAATAATTTTTGCAAAAACATTTGGGGCAAATTTTGGTCTCCGAACACTTTAGAGGGGTTTTAAGGGTTACATATTTGACTTAAGAGTTTCAATCAGAATAGGAAATGAACAAATGATATAACAAGAATGAAACTCACTCCTCTACAGCTGGTGTGAAGAATTTGATGGCCCATTCATACATGTCTGCTTTAGGCTTCACGAGGCATGCATTCTCCAACTGGCTGCTCAGTGTTGTAGGCTCATTGATCTGAAGGGGAGAGGGGAAAACGTTTACAAATTTGATGCTATCAATAAAGGGTGACATACATACTATTATGTAGATACATATAGGTACTGTACATGGATATATGTTGTTCACAAGACATGGATACAAAAGAATTTGCTGAAAGACGTTCTCTTCAATTCAATCGGGGCCTCGATTGGAACAGAGACAAAGCTGGTTAATATAGTAGTTGTACCTGCATAAATATGGCATCAATACTCAATAACAGAGTTTCTTAGAGACAAGTCAAGAGTTTTATACAGTAGGCTTGCGGGTGCACCATGTGAGAGAGAGGGAGGATTGAGTTAGAGTCAAGAGTCAAGAGTTATTTAAACGATTTTCAAAAATTAGTTTATCTATAATTCATAACTGGTGGAATATCAATTGGTCTCATCACATACATGCAAAATTTGGGCAAATGTATGTACACGTAGTCCTTCTAAACCTGTATTTCATCACTCTTTCACAAACATGACTCTTTCATACATTGGTTACTAAATAATGATGGTAAAACAGGAACTGAACTATACATATGTTTACATTTTTCAAATCAAGTTTGCTTAAAATTTGTAGACAAAGATTTCCACAAGGGCAGAATGGAAATGTTGTTATTGTCCCCTGAATAGTCGCCATGTAACATTATTTTTTAATTAGTACTTGCCTTGGAGGGGCACATGATACTGCGCTTTCCTATAGGAAGGTCATTGAACTTGAAGAACATCTGCAGGAAGTCCTCCACTGAACTGGCACCAAAGCCTCCCATGCAAGTGGTCATATCCATACCATTTTCATTTTCAAATCCATCTCCTTGTCCTCCAAATATTCTTGTGATATCTCCAACTTTTTCTTCCTGTCCTTCATATTTATTTGTAACTTCGCTGGAGTAGAAACAATTTGTGAGCTCCATACCAGGATCTGCATTCTGCTGCTCACTGTTGGCTTCTATTGATCCCGCGGCTTCAGAGCTAGAGGAGGATGGTCCTGCAGACACAAATGCCTGCAAGAAGCTACTCTTGAAGCTGGACTCTTGAGGTGGGTCTTCTTGACCACCTTGTTGTTGTTGTCCAGAGTTTGGTGGGTAAGACTGAAAGGCAGGTGCTGCAAAAGCATCTAGGTCCGTTGAAAAACTACCTTTACTCCCACATGAATCTGCAGCAATGAAAGATTTCAGGAAACTGCTTTTCACACTTGTTTCATTCACATCATTCTTCCTTTGGTCTAGGTTAGCGCTTTGAGGATACTGACGGAAGTTCTCAGCAGAACTGTCAAAATAAGAATGAAATGAAAAGGAGAAAGTACAAAATTTAGGTTACTTCAAAATATTCTATGGAAAATATACCTCACCTTTTACACATTTCAGATATCGTGCTTTTTAGCTTCAATTGTGAATTTGGAATTTGGAAAACATATTATAGATTGACAATATTCATTGTTCACATGTACTGTATCGTTTATAAAGTACAACCTGGTTACAAACATACCATCAAATTGTTCAAATTATATACACATGTATGGGGTAAGAATTACCTTGTACTTTGTACATTGGTGTGAGATGCTCCATTAGGATCTTGCCCGGTTAAGGTCATTGAATGTGCTTCCTGTTTGATGGGTCCAGACAAGAGAGTCTCCAAACCTTCACATAAAAAATGATGAAAACAAAGTGTAAACTAGATGGAACTTCAACTGGGCGCAGTCGAAAATGATGCCTCTGTCATAGAGCAATTTAACAAACCAAAACAGAAGAAATTTTTCAAATTCAAGTTCAATTGTAATCCATTAACAGGTTCTCAGAATATCGTGATTACAAGCAATTTCTCATATACATATATGACCCTTTGATCTTTGACCGCATGACCCTAAAATTTACTCAGTTCATTGGCTCTGCAAGATGTCAAAGAGTTAAATAGTAATCCATCTGTCAGTTCTAATGAGAATGCGTTCACAAGCTATTTTTGCATACATAATGAGCCCATGACCTTTGACCTTTGACCTAATGAACCAAGAATCTACTCAGTTTATCGGCTCTGCAAGATACATAAATGATCTAAGTTTGGCAGGAATCCATCAATCTGTTCTAATGATAATACGATCACAATCTTTTTTTGCATACATAATGAGCCGCATGACCTTTGACCTTGACGTCATGACCCCAAAATCTAATCAGTTCATCAGCTCTGCAAGTAACATACATGACCTAAGTTTGGCAGGAATCCATCAATCAGTTCTTGAGATAACGCGATCACAAGCTGTTTTTGCATACATAATGTGCGCTGTGACCTTTGACCTTGTGACCCCAGAATCTAATCAGGTCGTCGGCTCTGCAAGTATCATACATGATCTAAGTTTGGCAGGAACCCATCAATCGGTTCTTCAGATAACGCGATCACGAGCTGTTTTTTCATACATAATGAGCCCTGTCACCTTTGACCTCGTGACCCCAAAATCTAATCAGTTCATTGGCTGTGCAAGATACATACATGACCAAAGTTTGGCAGGAATCCATCAACCATTATGGCCCCCCCCCCCCCTCCACGATTTTTCTGATTGTTCGGGAACGCATATGGATGGCGCCCCGCCGCTGGCTGACTTTTTTCTTTCGAGTCTTGCGCTTCTTTAAACAAAAAAAAAATGAAAATCGGACCTACAGTAACAAGGTCACGTGACCTTTTGTCTTTGCATGTCAGCCCGAAAATCGCTCATTTTTGTGATTTGTGTACAAAACATATGGAAATGTCATTTTTCCTAAAAATAGATCAAACATTGGTTATTGGGTCTTGTCTAAAGTTTAGGTGGTTGTTTTGGGGTCAAAATAGTTGAATTGTAGTAAGAAATGAAATAAAACCACAAAAACAACAAAATACATAAGTTAAAAAACAATGAAATACATAAGAAATTATCAAAACAATAGATAACATAAGGAATAAGCTGGCTCTTCCGATTTTTTTGTCGTATTATTATTTCAAATGGTCTAATGAATATATGTGGTGAAAAAGAATGCTTAAATATGAATAATATATGATTTATGGGTAAAAATGTGATTTTATGACCTTATTTGCATAAATTACCATAAATATGCAAATGAGTGATTTAAAAAAAAAATTGAAATTACCATATTATTCTATACACTTCACTTGACATGCGTGCAAATTTTCGCGGAGATCTTAAGGGGGGGGTCCATAATGGCCCCCCCCCCCCCGGCCTTACTAAGACCTCAATTAGCCCGGCCTTTTTAGGGTTAAGATGAAGTATCTAGATTCCAAAATCAATCTTCTCACCAAACATGAAAGTAAATTAATAATCACATTACAACCTTTCAATGGTTGTATTTAATATGGGATAAAATAATTTGTAATAGATGGTGAAATCAAGAGTGAAATTAAAGACTTATCAATTTACCTGTAATTTGATGAGCTGGATCAAGATGAATATGACTGGGTCCAGCATGATCAGATGGATTGTTGGCTCTATAGAAGCAAAGCACAAAGAAACATTATCATAACACAAATCTGTGATTGTCTTTTTCTCACACCGAGGTGACTTACCTACATAGAAAAGTAAAAATTCATTACATATTGAGTGAAAAATGTGAAACAAAACTTTGCACTAATTTGACAATATTGACAGTGGGACAATATGTCTGTACCACAGTATCATTTTCACTGAGTAAATGTTACATAATCAGAAACATGGTCATATTTAGAATGCAAGAGAAATGGCTCCCAAGCCTCCCATATATTCAACAACATAAAGCAAAAATGCTGACAAAGACTGAGCAAGCACTTCTTCATTTGCGGTATTTTTTATACTAAACTAAAGCAGTCACATGTAAATTGTATGCATGGGAAGCTGCACTTGGAAATGCATAAATTAACCAAAGCATCTTGGATACCTCAACTATTTTTTTATATGAATAACCTCCATTACAGAATGTCTTATATTTCGTAGAGGAATATGTGCATTACAGATAACAATAGTTTTCTGTTTTAATTGCGACCGTCAATTCAACGCTCTATCCACTTTGAACAAGATATACTGCTCTCAATTTAAATTATAAGTAATCAGCTTTCACTTGTAATGTAAAATGAACTCAAAAATTATTTCTCACATACCTGGTAATAATAATGTAGCTTAATTTACTGTCCAATTACTTACTTTTCAAGGTCAGGTAATTCCTGATGTGTTGTGCCGTCTTGAGAATCGTCCCACAAGCCTAACTCTTTTCTGTCAGAATCTTTCATAAATTCTCTGGAAATATGAACAAGCAAGAAATAAAAAAGTATTCACTATGAATGAAACAATCTGATCGAAGCCGTATATGCCTTTGATTCACGGGTGAAATAAGAATGTACAATTTGCATTATAATAATAATAATAATTCCGCTTTTAAATAGCGCTTAATACATCTATGATGTCTCTATTAGCGCTTTGCCCCGGTCATTGGATTCAATACTCCACTCCCTGGGGAGCATTCCAGCCAGGCGTTACTTAACGCTCAAAAACTGTTTGACCAACAATGACTGTCGCATCCTACCGGGTACCCATTTAACACCTGGGTGGAGAGTAGCAAGTGCAGGTAAATATCTTGCCAAAGGATATTAGTGATGTATCTGATGTACATAAAATATATTGATAAACAAAGAGCCAGGCTGTATGCAGAAATAATTCATCAAGATACTATTGCTTCCATCCACTCTATCATGTCCCACCAAATTGGTAAAAATAATTGTGTGGGTTCTCAAAATCATTTAAATTTTCTACTAAAATCAGAATTTAGGCAAGGCTTAATAAATGTTATGATTATAATATCTAATTAAAGTATCAATCTATGCTTGCCAGAAAAAGGAGTATGTGACTCCATAAGCTAGCATCAGGACTTACTTGACTTGGTAGGCCTCTGCAAAACTCACTCTCCTGGAAGACCTGCGCTTCTTTTTCTCTATCCTGTGGGGACTGGAAGTAAGCAAGAGTCTTTATCTCGATACCATTCAAACTTTCAAATGATTTACTGGTAACTCTCCTTTTCTTTATCCAAGGATATTTGTATTTTTGTTGATGTTCTGATCAACTGCCTGAAATGTCCTGAGATTTGAATACCACACATTCAAACAGTCTTGTCTTTATAATAAGGACATGTCACTGATAACGGGGTATTGTGGCGTAGGTGCGCCTGTAATCCAGCTAACAATGGAAGTTACAAACTGATTCGGCCGAGGACGCAAGTTCGAAACTGAGTCACATCTTTCGGATGGTGAAGTTAAAGGTCGGTCCCCAGATTAGATACTAATCAAATCTGATTGATACACATCTGTAAAAACACAATTACACACACACACACCGATGTCATTCATTTACCTCAAAATTGCACCCCGCCCCCCTCCCCCTCTGCTCCTTACATTTTATATTCAGATAACTTGTACAATCTAGTTTGTTAACAATTCATTAACTGGTTATCTATTTTACATTGAGATATTAGGCTGTAAACTTACACATCCAATTGTGTTGTTTCATCACTTGATGGTCCATTCAGGTTTGGCTTCAAATCCAATAATGCAGTTCTAGATGGGGACTGGGCCTTCAGTATCTAGATGTAGTAAAGAACAGAATGGAATAAAATAATAAGCATTCCAGTACTATATGCCTTAAAAAATAAACATAAAGTCAGATATGCATACGAGCCTGCATTTTACAACTATAGATAATCATTTAGTCTCATGATAAACATACTGTCAGATCATCAGTCACAGCTGTTATAAAAAATGTGTAGCTCATAACTCATGTCAATATTTCTCAAATTTCAAAATAAAATAATTGCAATTGCATAAAGAGAACAGAGCATTGCAGAGGTGGGAAAAGTATGTCATAGCAAAGATAGAACAAAAGTGTGGGTTGTACTAACTGAATGTCTAAGTCTGTGAATTCTAGTCCAAATCTGGCACTATGATTCATCCCACAAACTCTACCAATAATTCAAAAAATAATATTTGTTTGTATTAACAACTTAAAATAAATGCTGTTTAATAAGTGTTGTTTAACTTTAATAATTTCATTTGTGGATTAACATGTTAGAAATTACTTGCACACACAAGTTTGATTTTTATCTATAAAACAAAACTGTGAGTTTCTAGTTCAAGCAACATATGAACATGTATTGTAACAAGAAAAGGGGGAAATGGTTTTCAATCTGGATGGCTGAAGAATAAAGAGATTAGTTAGATCTATGACTATGCAGCATATTTACATATTTCTTTTATTTTAAATGAATGGCAAAATCTGTGAAGAAGAAAAAAAGAAGTGACAGAACTTACAGAAGACAAAGACTTCCTTTTCCTACTTGTCATTGTGCTGTAAAGAAAACAACATAAGCCAATCAAGATAAATAAAACTTAGAAGTGATCAGAAAACTGAAGTTTTGATAATGACCCTGGCCCTGATGACATTTTTTGGCGGACGATATCTGAATTTCAAAGAGAAAATCACATTTCTAGAAAGTTGAGTTTCATATGACACCTCAATCAGGAAAAATGAACTAGGAATAACAAAGTTCTGTTTGTTACTTTAAAGTAGTGCTTGCATTTCCATAATTGTATTAAACAAATTTGTTTTCACTGGCTGCCTGTCGTATCAACAAACGAAATTAACAAAAGACTTGTAGCGGCTCTTACATTCGCCCTACTTTTATCGTACATTCATGTCTCTAGTATTTTTCCATCACGCTACTTATTTTATATGCATTATTCAGACCACGTGTGTTCATTCCTTCAATCGAGCACCGTGGTTCCGCGCACCCGTTCACCCGCGTATTTTCAACGCCATGAGGTTTTTCTTCACTCCCGCTTCCAACTTGTTCGAGTCAAGACGTCTCTGTGATCCTCTCTCTACACTCGAGATTCTTCTGTGCCTTTCGCCTATCCTACGGCACATCAACTCTTTCTCTGCCGTCTTCAACGGACTGGCAGTTTCCCAGTGGAACGTTATAATCAGGACCCAACATGGCGCTTGATTCTCCGCTGGGAGCTGCCAGTTTCTACGTTCCGGTAGCTCTTTTCTTACACGAGCTCAACTCACCGTAGTTCGTCTATTATTTCATCAACGAGTTCGACTCACTGTAACTCTGATGAATTTCTCCATCAAAGTCAGGATCATTCATCGAGCGACTCACTGCTCCGTCTTAATTCACCACCGGCTTGATGTCTACATTTCTACTCTTGGCCTCCGCCAGCGAACGACCCACTGTTCTGATTTCGAGCACCACTTTTCTTCTCTTCTCGCCTGAGAGCTTCGATCTTCACCATTTTCATCACGAGCGTCAGCGTCGAGATTTTCTTCACGGTTCTTCAGCCACGTACAACGAAGCTACATCTCCACCTTCAAGCCTCCGCACCACATCGCGTGAGCCCCTTCCTTCGTTCTCAACTCTCTTCATCTTCATTGGACTTTCGACGTCATTTCATATATGTAAAGCTCTATTCATTCATTATGTACATCGCATTTATTCATGTTCATTCTCATCATTGATCATTATGTAATCTCCGTGCAATATTCACATTACCACACACATGCACCCATATTACTAAAGACTTAACTCCGTTTCGTTGACAATCAGCCGTAGACTAAAGACTTCATGCATGGCCGATTGTCAACGAAACGGGGTTAGGCTAATTCTGCTTTTTGCTACGGAAGGCAGCCAGTGAAAACGAATTTGTTTGCTAAAATTATGAAAATGTAAGGGCTACTTTAAACAAACAGAACCTTGTCATTCCTTACTCATTCCTGATGGAGGTGTCATATGAAAGGGCAAAAACCCACTCCAGCAAAGCATAGAGAGTCAATGCTAAAGCGTATTGACCTCTAGCACTGCAAGCTTGCTGTGAGTAAGGTATTATTAGATCTAGAGGTCTATACCCATACACAAATACACATACCACACAATATCGCATAGACTCTACACAATCATGTCGATGCAGCTGTAAGCAAAGTTTGACACTAGACTTAGTCTAGTCTACAATTTGAATTTTTAAATTAGACTAGATTCTAGAGTATAGATCTAGATCTAGTCTAGAGTAAAGTACCCGGTTTTCGGCCACTTAAGACAAAATCCTATTTATTGGACTCTTTACTTCCTATTTATTATCATTTCTTGTTCAAATCATGAAGCAAATATTATTATTGTTTAAACAAAAAAAGAATCCCAAAAAAAAATCACGAATTGCCATGACAATATTCATTTCAATTTTCACTGTTTTGGAGCCTGTTTATCGGCCGAGCGTTTCAGTTTACGGCCGCATGTACAAAGTCAATAGGAAGCGCTCGCGCGCGCCGTGCGTTTCCGCGCTGATGTATAGCACAAGCGGGCGGAGCAGGTATCCCACGCCGGAGCTCCCGGGTGCTCGCCTGACCGAATACAGGCACAGCGGTGATCGGAAGTTGGAATCTGAATTAGACGGACATATCGTGTGTGCGTCGCGGTGTGCGGCTGCATTGATTTAATACATGCGATGAGATACTTTTGAGCTTGCGACCAGCACAAAATCGGGCTCTATATCTGAAAAATACTTGAAATAAAGCTCATTTTATGGTACCCATATTTCTTACATACACGCGTAAGAAACTCGATTTTTCAGATTTGGGTAGCGGGACCGCCGATTACATCGCTAAAATGTGATATTTTAGGATATATTTTTCATTGCAAATGTGGTTCTTCAGTGACACTGGCATGGTATGGTATGTGTGGGATATGTGTTATGCTATTATGCGATGTATTTTAAAGTGATTTTACCATGTATCCAACCAATTGGCCGAAAACCGGAGCTGACCGATTACCGGGTACTTTACTCTAGATCTAGACCTATTCTTTTTAACATCAGTGAGTTCAAAAAAATGTATTTTACTGCTATTTAGAGTCTAGGTGTCATCAATTGTCACTAAAGTATCGATTTTTAGTGAAATCAGTTGAGTTTTGTACAGTGGTGTTTGAAATGTTGAGAATCAAAAGCACAGCTTTTACTACACAGCCAGGATAGTGATGCTCCTAGGGTCTAAAAATCTATGTGTGCAAAAACCCAACTTTCTAGAAAGTAGAAATGTGATTTTCTCTTTGAAATTCAGATACCGCCCGCCAAATGACTTTTCGGTTTCCTCTCTTCAAATTGATTTTATTAACTCATGAGTTGCATCAAATGAAAGATAAATATATAAATGTGATTAAGTTATGATAAAACATCGATAATTCTCGGTTTCGTTTTTTCTGGGACGCACTAGCACTGCATAGACTCTTAGACACAAAATACTTTACACACACACACACACACAGAAAGCGACGGATGGGACAACAAAAACGTCGTTTATAGGGCAGTAACGGCTAATTCTGTGCTGGAAAACTCATATTATAAGAATTTTAATCCCATTTATAATAACAAAATGCAATTTAAAACGTTAACATTACTCATCTGAATTATCTTTAGAACTTAAAAATGGTAATTATGAGTAAAATGTTCGCTAAATCTAACTTACATTGAATGTTCCTAAGGCCGATGAAAGTTGATCTCATGGTCATGGTTCTCGTCAGCGCCCGCATCAAATTTTGCTCGCGCACCAAAAAAGTTCAACACTCATCGCTGACGAAATTCCCGCGTCAAAAAGTCCAGATATGAAATTGCCGCCTCAAAAAATCAATCAATATTTTCGATTGGCTGCCGCGCGTGGCCCATGTGACACGCGTCCATGGCGATGTCTGCCAAGTCGATCGCTGATTGGTCTAAAGTAGCGGGCGGCATAATATGCCGCCCGCTACTTTAGCTGCCTATCGCGTAGGCCAGGAATAGTCTGCGGCTAGACACGGGGCGAATGTTTTGCCTCACGCCGTACTCCGGCTTCCCGCTACCGTACCGGGTGGGAGCTAACGCGTATTAAACTGTTCAGTGCATTGTGTACGTTGCCCAGTATACTAGCTCAGGACAGCAATTCATCTGTACTATTTATCGATCGCTTTTGGCCGCACTGTCAGTCAAAATGATTCTTTCACTTTGTGTGACTCAGGGCAGCAGACTGCTTGTCAAGTGGAAGATAGTTTGTGTAGATAGTTTTGATGAAACCTTGACATTTGAAAGGTTTTTTGAGTGAAGACGAACAAAGAAAGATGTATATCGCTATATCATAAAGTTCATAATTTAATACCAGTATAATAAAACAGGGCCTTAAGTTTAAGTCAGAAACGAGACAGTATAAATGAAAATGAAATGAAATGAAGGTGGTGTCACAGAAACCCAAATATCACAGAAAATTTGGAAGAAATAGTCATTGGAGTATGATATTGGTGTAAGAGCGTTACATGTATAATGTACAAGACTCGATACCCTTGACAAGTTCTATTGGTTTGTATATGAAAGATGAATTTGGATCAAAATCCCTCATTCAAATTCCAAATATGCCCGCGAGAACATGAAATCAAAGTCAGATGAAAGATGAAAGTTGATCTAAATCCCTCATCAAAATCTCAACAATGCCTGACGTAGCCTATAATCTAGGCGGAGTGCCGAGCTTTTTTCTTTGCGAGACGTAGTCTCGCCGTATCAGACGTTCTGCTTAGGGTTAGTCTAGCAGCAAAGAAAAAAAGCTCGGCACTCCGCCTAGATTATAGGCTATGCCTGACGAGAACAATGAGATCAACTTTCATCGGCCTAACCGTCAACGTTCAAAACATCCGCCGGTTGTTGCTTCTTTCTCAACTGCGCATGCGCGGGTAGTAGCGAGAGCGATACAGGCTATTGAGGTCAAACAAATTGCAATAAAATATTTTTCACTGCATTGCATTTTAGTAAGGTCCCCACAATGACATACTAAAAGTCCAAAAAAATCCAAGTAGTGGAATTAAGTGTCCCTAATTTGCATAAATCCAATATAACCGCTATTTCGAGGTTTTTCACATAGATTTTGTCATATTTTTCAACTTGTATAGGTTGTTGTGGTACTAAAGGAGTAGGAAAAGTGATCTGCTGTACATTTTGTATCAACTAAAATACCCATATACTACAGGTACATCACACACCTGAAACAAATCCCCCCGCACACCCACACCCACACAATCCAATATGTAATTTATGCTCAAATTATCACCGCAGCAGATGATGTTATTTCATTATGTACTAGAATATCATGTCATTTTAATTATATTGAAAAAACTAAATAAAAAATATTCAGAAAAACTGGCCTTTATGAGTATCCGTACAAACACAAGAGCTGTTGGTAAGGATATTAGGGGTACAGCCTGTACCTTACATTATCCGTGTAGTGTGGACTAATTGTGTCTAATTTCCATGAATCCAAAATGGCCGTCAATTTTAGGGTTTCTCCTAGATTTGGTCACAATATTCACCATACATACCTTTTAGCATACTTTTAGTGTACTTTGAAAGTCTAAAATGTTTTTTCCAAGATATTTTCTGTTTGCATGAGGTTTCATATGCCCGGTTGAGTGTTTTAATTTGCTTAAATTCAAAATGGCTGCTAAATTAAACATTTTTGTAGAGAATTTATTATAATTATATTTTTTGTCCTATTTATGTTACATCGACTTATTGCAACAACACTTATATATGTTGTACAAATATTTTTATATTTCAAGTGTTTCATAACTAGGTTTTTTAATTTGCATATACACATACATTTTGTTTAAAGTGGGTTAATTTGCATAACTTTTGTGTAAGTTCTCACCTTACAATGCATTTCAAAGCAGCTATGTCTATGTTGGTTTACAATCCCAGTGCAGTTGTTATTACAGGATGCAGGTCATGAGGCCTACAGTTAAGTATACATATTTTAATTTGATTAGAGTTGGTAGTCTCCAACAAACAAACATTTATGTGGCATGCTGATCAGTATAGTATCATCAAGTTCTAGGTAGGTCTATTATGGTGGTGAGTGCCACTAGTGCCACGACAATCAGTGCAGGCTGTTGAACATTGAAGGCCATACTTCCGGAAAGTGCATTTCTTGGCTGCACAATCTTTCTTGCATCCACATCTGATGACCTTAAGGTGTTATGCGGATGCTGGCTGTTTTATCAGTTTTTATTGGAAGATACTTCCCATCCATGACCTGTCAACTCAGTTCCCCAATGTCAAGCTGCCTGCCATTCCTTTTCATTCTAATATCTGATAGTACACACGCAGACTGTGGAACTTTCCTGCTGCTGAAGTTGGTTGCAAAGTCTTTGCTTGTAATTAAGGCAGACAAGATTGGTGATACCTTTACGCAATCTTCTATTGAGTCACCATCATAGAGGCCCGCCCCCCCCCCCCCCCCCACTCCGGGGTCGGAAAAGGGGTACTTTTCGTGCGACAAAGTCCGGCCCGAGAATTGTAAAAAAAAAAAAAAGGGGTGTATTTGACTTTTCACCCGGAGATTTCTTTATAAAGGGGGTGTTTTTCTTTTTTTCTCTCATCTCTTTGGACTCCTGAGAAATTATTCCGAATTTAGGGGGGTACCAGAGCTGCCAAGTAGTACGTTTTTAACGTATTAATACGTTTTTTGGGGTAAAATACGTTTGTACGTTTTGCTGTGCTAAAATACGTTTTTCGAAAGTTTCGAGTATGGCTGTGCAAACGTGGCTGGCTGTGAGAACGAGCGTATGCAGAGTTGTGCTATTGCTTTGTATTGGCGATTCCTGCAGCGCGCACGCATCCGAATTGCACACAACACAGGGGATGTACACCACTCAAAGACGTGCACATTTCCCCAATCCATGCATACAGTACGGTACATGTACCGAGTATCGAGCCAGCGAATCCAATTGCCATATCCTTAACACACGCAAAATACATACCAATGCATTACACACATTGTCACTCACTAACTAGTACAAGAAAGTCCCGTTGTCACTTCCAAAAATCCATCCTAAAAGCCAAATTTTGCCGTAAAAAATGCGGAATCAGAGCCATATTTCCAAAGCATGCGGGGGCTTAGCCCAGTTTTAAGAAAAAGTTTCTCCAAAAAAGCGCTAAAAATCAAGAAATCAGTGATTTTATTACAAGTTTTTTCGATTATCGCAAGCCCTTCAAATATGATGGTATCTTCAAAAAGTCAAATGAAAAACAAACACCGGACCCTGCTGATGCATTGACTTTGTGTACAAATTGATTCGACCCTCATATTCATTGACTTAGCGTTTTATTTTCAGATTTTCTAAAATTCTGTGATGTTTTTAAATTATTAAATTTTCCAATAAAATAGGTAAATATATTTAACATATATTTTTAAAAGTACAATTTGTATTTGCATTTTTTATTTTTTTTTTTTTTTTTTTTTTTTTTTTTTTTATTTTTTTTTTTTAATTGATAGGTCGGCAGCTGTCAATGATTGGACACATTTTTTAATCAAAGAAACATAGTTGCAATAGTATTTTACAGGGAAAATAACAAAAGAAAATTAAAAACAGGCAAAATATGTTTTTTCACCTAAAAATATGCTTTTTCAAGCTGAATAATATGTTTTTTAAGAATGACAGGTTGGCAGCTCTGGGGTACATTGAGCATTTTTTCGTATTTAGGGGGGTCTCCAAGGCAGGAAAAGCCCGCGAAAAGCCCGCGAAAGGGGGGTTCGGAAATGTTGGCAGTCCTCAGATAGGGGGTGCTTTAAAAAAGAGGGAACGAGCATAATTTATGCGTACCCTAAATAACACTGAGTGGGGGGGGGGGGGGGGCATACAGGCATACCAGTGCCTTCTCTCCAGCTGGAATAATGGCCTCCTTCAGGTCTGATGCCGGCTGATTAAATACCATGGCAAGCTCACAGAAGTCGTCATTCTTCATGATTTTCTTCAGTGCTATACGCCTTCCCCGAGTCCAAAATTAATATGCAAGACGTTGTGTCGTAGTCCAGAAGCACATGGCAAAGAGAAAGTATAGTCACACACACTACTTCCTAGAGTTTCCTTCAGCTGTTTCATATTCCATGTTCGGTTCTTGTCAGTGGAGTTGCCTTGGGCTCAGGTGCAAAAAAAGAAGTCCTTTGCATTCAGATCAGCGTAGAAGATCAGCAAGATGAGAAGGTTTGTGACATCACCGACAAGAACTGTTGCTTTAAACTTCTGCTGCACTGACTTGTCTGTTGCCTTACGAAAAAATTTATATTTAGTCAGGCCTGAATTGAGTCGCAAAACAATCACTGTGTTAACAGGAAAAAAAACATAATTGATGACATTCGAAATTCCCAAATAACTAATACGATTGGAGAGCGAGTACTCGTTTTGTTTTTCTTCAAAAATTACTCAACTATAAATAGCTGGCCCGGATACTTGAGCCTCTCACAAAACGCAAGTATAGGCCTGATGTGTCGTCAGGGCGTCGCTAGACCTTTTTCAGTGGGGGGGGGGGGGGGGGGTATAGAGGCCAACGATTACCGACCAAACAAGCCACCAATTACCGACAAAATTAAATGTCCCAATATCTACAATAATGTAATCCTATAAACCCGAGGCCAAAGGCTAAATTGTTATGCGCAAATGGTCATTTTCGTCGACGACATAAATATACAAATTATGTCGTCAACTTAGTAAGCATCATAGCTATATATTTTAATGCAGGCGCGTAGGTAGGATCTTATTTAAGGGAGGGGCGGTATTGAGCAAGCGAATCACTTAAAGAGCACGCAAAGTGCTCCCTATAGGTGGGGTAGGGAGTGGGTGAAATGCCTCCCGCGCGAAGCGCGGTAGCTTAGACGATTCATTAAATTATTATGAAAAGAAGACGATTTGTTGTACCGTTCTCGACTCTTAATCCTTGTCTGAATTTAGTTTCCCCGTCCCACGCGAAGCGCGGAAGCTTAGACGTTTCATTAAATTATTATAGAAAGAAGACGATTTGTTGTATACCGTTGTTTACTCTTAACCCTAATTGTCTGAATTCAGTTTCCCCCTCTCGCGCGAAGCTCGGGAGCTTCGACGTTTCATTAAATTATTAGAAAAAGAAGACGATTCATTGTACCGACTCTAAATCATTGTCTGAATTTTCAAAAATGTTTCTTTGTCCGATAAAAAGCCACAGTTCGAAGGGGAAAAAATTGCTGGCCGACCGACATAAACAAATATCCCACCGGCTTCAACCTCACACCCTCACCCCCTTTAGCGACGCCCCTGAATGTAGGGTGGCCTGAGCGGGTAGACACAGGGCGTGGTTCTAAACTTACAGAGACACTTCGATAAAGACGCCCTCATTTCATGATTGCGTGTGTTGAACTGCCCTGAGCTTTACAACTTTAAACCTCCAGGGTTAACTTTGCATGTATAGGTATTTACATGTTCATTTATATAATAAAAGGAAATAATGAATATTCAAAAATCATAGGTAGCAAATAAAGGATGACTAACAGAGGAATGACAACAAACATATAGGAGAGGATGATCAAGCATAATGATGTGCACCAATCTATAAATGTGAATTACTAAGTAGCCTGTTCACACTACAGCTCTACAGTAAAAAAGCATTTGTAGCCTTAATTTTAAGCAGTTGAAGAAATCAATAAAAGTAGGCCTACTTGAAGAAATCGTTGAATTGTAAGATATTTAGTTTATTTTTATTAAGTAAGACAAATACTAGGTGTTAAAATAACACACATTTAACACCTTTGGAACGTGAAAAACAAAACTTTTATTGTAATGCCTATAATCGGACATCTTTAAAAACTGAAATGTGGCACCACCCCAAAAAATATAATTCTGAGATCCTCCTTTGTCTTTAATTTGCACCTGGAAAT